AAATTGTAACTAAACCTAAAATAGATTTATTATAGATAATGCATACTACTATTTATTCATACAATAGATTCTCAGATTTTAACTAGTTAATAAAATTGCCCGAATTTTTGGTTAGGCCTAAATCTATCATTTTAATGCAACTTCGTTGATGTTTCTCAAGTTCCTGGTTGAAGTTTATAAAAGAAAAATGAAATGATTGTCGTTTTAGATTTCAAGACATTGCTTAAAAATGTTCAATGTTTTTCATGAATGGTTTCTTAGATAAGAAAAAAAAAATTGTTTATTTTTGAATGTATTCTTTCTTTTATTGTTCGTAATTAATAATGTCATCATTTTTAACCAATAACGATTATTTAATTATTTCTCGTTTTCTATCATTTTTCTCTACTTCTTATGGTTCAAATGCTCGTTTAAAATTAATTCAAACACTTGATAATTCAATGAGTATTTGTACATCAATAAGTAGTCGTATACAACATCAATTAAAATGTCGACATCTTATATCACGTTTGCTATCAGCTGCTATACAAAAACAAATATCTATTTATCATGATGGTGGTCTTTACTTTAGTATTATATTTTGTAGTTTGTTAATACAATTTCGTGATATGTCAATAAATTCCACTAACAAACAAAATTTATTATTTGAATATTGTTTGAATTTAATCGATGAAATGAATATACCACAAGAAACAATAACATTTAATTCAGTTCATCAATTACTAGCTATTGTTCGTGCTGTTATATGTAAACCATTAGCTTATAATAATTCAGATTTATTACGAGAAAAATTATGTCTTTTATCAGTTAAATCATTTCTTGAAAATATAACAATGATAAATTCATCAACACAACAACTTATTTTAACAATTGAAGGTTTATCTATTGATAAATCAACTTTATTCAATGGTTTACTTTATCAAATATCAACATCAAAATCTTTTTTATGTTCAAAAAAAACTCGTTCATGTCTGTATTTTACTATATCTCTAGCGGGAGATTATACAATTGAAGATTTAGATCATATTGAAACAGAACAACAAATGTTTGAATGGATTCAAAATACAGCTGAACATATAACAAAACAAATTATTGGATACACTTGTTTGCATAATGATGGATTAATTCTTTGTCAAAAGGTTTGATAAATTTTAATGTTGTTCTCTAATTTAAATTATGGAATTCTTCTTTCTTTTAAAGGTTATTCATCCATCTGTTAAAATGAAATTGAAACAATATGGAATTGATACAATTGATCGACTTGGTCGACAATATACACCTTATTTTTGTTATTTAACTAGTAGGAAAGAAAATATAATAGTAAAACTTCTCGATGTGAGCACCTTCTTATACTGAACAGTCTATAAAGTCTTCGACAAATACCTTAGAGGACCTGAGGTCTTTTACGAAGAGTACTACCTCGTTTTTGACTGTCTTTTAGTTCGCGAAGACAGTACAACCAATTTAAGTAAAATGTTTACCACAAATTGAGCACCAAAAATAAACAGAGATATGCTTGTGAAAAAGAAAATTTTGAAGTGGATTTTTATGATAGTTTCTCATAGAGGTAAAAGTTTCGGCCTATGGAACAAAGTTAGAGGGAAGTTGTAAGCAGCGAGAAGTGAAAAAAACTGGTGTTTTGCCTTATGCCAGATAAAAGAAAAGAATTTCAATATGATTGCTATAGAAAAAAATTTTCTTAAGTCGCTAACTCTGTAACGAGAAACTGTTTAGAGTTGAATGTTGTCTCTAATTGCACACGACACTTGAGGCTATCATACCTTATGTCAAACTCGAAATCAAGTTTTTGGTCAAAAAAGAAGTGGATACCCTTGAGTTTCTCAAAAAAGTCATGTTTTTTTGATAGTTTTCTCGACATTTCTTAGTTTCGACTCATTATTGTCCAATACATCGATAGATTTAAGTAGCTGAGACTCCAGTTGTTTACTGAGTCTTTCTTACAGAATTTTAGTGTTCAGGCGAAGTCATACTTTTGAATTTTGATTTGAAACTTTTCTCCTATAAAGGTATCAATTAGACTAGCTTATAAAAAAAATCTCAAAACTGTTTGACTAAGTATCTCCAAAGATATAAATGCTTCAAAATATTCATATTTTGTGGAACTCACATATATTTTCGAAGAAAATAGTGAGTGTAAGTTTGAGTTTTTGCGGCTCCCCCCCCCCCTACCCCTTACAGATACTATAGCAACGGAAGCCCCCATTACAGACCTTAGCAATCAATATAAAAGATGTTAGTTTTTCTAGTTTTTTTTTGAAAAATAATGAATATCATTATTTGTGACTTGATTAATATATATCATAGTGCGTAAGATCTGCTGTAGATATCATAGATATGTAAAACACACTTATTTTGCCAATCAGTTCAATGATTATAATAATAAGAATGATAAATTAAGAAAAACGAATTAGAAAAAAATAATGAGCGAATAGTAACAATGAAAACAAAAAATAGGGCGCCCGTCAGAAAACGAAAAATAAAAAATTCTTTATTTTGCATCTTCTGTATTTCGTATTAATATAACGAAGCTAAAGAACATATGTAAGTTCCACATTTCAGCCTCAAAGGGGCTGCGTTAACAAGCTTTTTTACAATAATCATGATAAAGTGCCTATTTTTTCTACAAGCTATTCTAATCAATGCTCTGAAGAAAAGAAAATTCTTTTTTTTTTTTTTTTTGTCGAATTTATTCAAGTCAGTTGGTTATATCGATGTATGAATAGTATAGATGGAATTCGTTCACAGTAAAATGTACTACTAGCATAGTCATTAATCCAAAGCTATCTGAAATGAATATGTATTCAGTGTTTTGTTTTGTGGCTCTTTCAAAAAATGTCTTTCGATCTTCTTGTGAGAAGAAATGAATTGGCCAGACTCAGAACGAGTATTTCATAGAACGAACCTCGATGTGTATAGCTGGGAGTAAATTTTCTTCCATTAGAAATGTCCTGTTTTGTGATAAAAACGATTTTGAATTTCTAGAAGAATATTTAAAAGCAAAAAAGACCTTTTAATTGATATGCAACCGAATCTTGCCGAATATGTTCCTATATTAGAAAAATCACTTTATGTATGACTCATGCGCATGAGCACTGAGATAATTAAGCCATATGAACATGGCAACATTTTTTTCGTATAGAGAACCTAAAGAATTTTTATATGATATGCTGCAAAAGAGCTTTGAAGTGACTCCACAATATGTTTTCGATGCAGAACCGCATTTTTCAATTGACTATTCTTTCCTATAAGGTATTTCTCAAGATTTTTCTAATTCGGAACTGACACATCACTATGACGACGAAAGCAAAATATTACCTATATTAAGCTTATATATTATTTGTGGACATAAATATTAAAAATCAACTAGCTGTAGAAATTATTTAAAAATAAATCAATACTCAAAGGAGGTTCTCTATTGTATCAATAGCTTTAGTCCGCCGAAGTGAATTTTTCTAGGATTGAGCATCCTCCTTATTTTGAGTATGAACACTTATTTCTGGCCAGATAAGCAGTAACACCCTCTTTAATGTGAGCAACACATGTTCTATCACTCACATGCAGAACGAAAAAAAAATGATATCATATCTTCTGCGTCATGATAAACAATCACGAGACACATAGACAAAGGAAATGGACTAGCTGTGAATATTAAAAAGAAAAAAAAACAATATTTGACAACAATAATCGTGCTTGCTGTATCAAATTTGTCGTTTTTCTTTTAACAGCGAGTGATATCAACATGTACTGATTTACCTCTGATTGAAGAAAACTTGAATTAATAATTTGCAAAAAAAAAGAAATTGAAAACCCTCCAAGAATGAGTCCCTCTTCACAGTGAGTCCTTTTGACTGGTCTTGATCGTATCCACATGAGAGAAGTTCTACTGTATAACTTGTATCTATGATATGACATTTATTTAGATTGCCAACCAATTGAAACATTAACATTGAATACAATTGATGAACGATATTTTGGAATATTAACCGAAATAAAACAAATAGAAATAGAAAAGAAGAATTTTCTTCAATTTTTCAATGAAACACGACCATTTTATACATTATTACTTTGTTCAAATACGGAACAAGCTCTTCTAGAACTCAAAGTAAATAAATATTCATTAATTTATTATTTAATTGAATTTCAAATAGGAATGTATTACAACAAGTCATCATACACTTACAAATATTCTTTCAACTAAACAAGCATTATATGGTGGTGGTTGTTCTGAAAGTATGCAAATTTTTTATTTAAAAAAACAAATGAATCATTTAGCTGTACGTTATTTATTGAAAATATTTCGAAATATTATTCGTGCTCAATATGAACATAATTATGTTATTGATCGAATTCATGGTCATCTTTGGTATTTATTAGAGAATGATGAAATAAGTAAAACATGTGCTTGTGAATTATATTCAATCATGGATCATTTACAAATAGAATGGAGAAAACTTTTTTTCGATGTTAATGATGAAAAACAAGAAATAGAAAAAATTCAAGATAATAATGAATTTTTTATTAGAAATATATGTCCAAAATATTTAGATAATTTTCATATGAGAACAAATACTTTTAAAACAGCTTTTGAAACGGCAATTAATATACATTTAACTAGTATTTGTTTATAATCTTTTTTGTTTCCTTCTAGATTTCCTTTTCCTTTTCTTTTTTCCTAAAATAATTATGCCACAGGTAGCTAATTTTATAATTATGTAAATAAAAATATACATTTGTATTTTAATCAAGGGAATTTTCGAACGATCAGTGATTCAATATGATGATATTCCATCTGCACGTAAGTTGATGTTTATAAAAAGAAAAACAAAAAAAATTAAAATAAAATGCTTGAATAGGAAGCAGTCATACATTGACAGCAATTGATAATCATTTGTATTTATTCGGTGGTGAGCATGATCCACGTATACCAATTGATAATGATATTTGGCGATTTAGTATAAATGACAATCGCTGGAAACGTTTGTCGATTGATCAAGGTGAACGACCACCACCCAGACTTGCACATGCAGCGGCTGCTGTAGAACATAAGTAATTTCATAGAAAACTGTCACAAATACATACAGTTCGAAGCAGAAGGCCTTAAAAAGAATTTTCGTGTTCAATACATCATATGAACTTCCGGATTCATAGGAATGAACTACGAAAGTGACACTACTAAAATGAATTATCAAGATTATAAAAATATGTATTTTCATACAAGTATAATGTTTGTTGATAGGGATGAAATATTTTCTTTACGTGTCAAAAAAATACCATTGACAAAGATCAGTGTTTGCGTTAGGGATTGTACCAGTTTCAATGCTTGGGCTTAGTTAGAATTGGGTCCTGTAGAATTATTAATTTCGCATATATTTGCATAAACTAAGAGTATTCCGTTGTTTTCGATCATTTCTGGTTTTTCAAGAGGATGTAACTGATTCACATGAAGTTTTTCCACGCATAGATCACCTAAAATAAGAGGACATGTGTTTGAGGAAAAAATTTTGAATTAGGTTTTCGCATTTTTTCTGGGAAATTGGTTTTAAATAGGAGATCACATCAGACCCGCTTACGAGCGCCCCCGCCCCGTCTAAATTTATTCGATTGCATTGAAATTGTTTGTTTTTAAAGATATCTTAGACTAAATCTCAGAAGTAGTTTTAAGATTTTTCGAAAACATTGCTTTCTTTTTACTTACAAAAAGAAATACGTAAAGGTTCGAATCCAAAATCGAGTTGCTGGCGTTTAAGGTTCTGTAAATGCAGATAGGAAAGTCAAAAACGAAAGCGGCCAATTTCACTTGCAGAGAATATTTCCAAGTATCTGTGGTCAAAGCTTCAGTTCGATCAGACAAAGTTTCAGGGCGATCGTAGGCGGATCCAGTGCATTCCTGTAGAAAATCTTATTTAAATTTTTTTCTTCTTGGGGAACCAGCAATGGTTACAAACGGGGGGTTACCCTTAATGATTTAATTCCAATTTTTTCAAGGCCAATTCCAAGCCGAAAATTGATACATCCCTAGGTTTCATTCAAGATAATAATCTTCTTATAGACTCCCAAGAATTTTTTGAGTTAATGCGTCAAAGAACCAAACAAATTATTTCTAATTCTTTAGAATCTGTCTATTATATTTTTCTGTTACTTCAAATAGGTTATTTATTTTCGGTGGCCGCACATCGATAAATATGAAAGATAATACTTTAGATGATTTATATTCATACGACATTAATCTTAATGAATGGACACAATATAAAAAAATATCTGGTAGTAAAGAATGGCCAGAAAAACGAAGTTATCATTCAATGGTTAGTAGCGCTGATCAATTATTTGTTTTTGGTGGTTGCGGTGAAGAAGATCGTTATAATAATTTATGGCAATATGATACTTTTCATAAACAATGGAAAGAATTATCTTCACCTGATTCTCAACAGCTTGTAGCACGTGGTGGTTGTGCACTTGTTTATCTTAATAATGCACTTTGGGTATTCGGTGGTTTTTGTGGTCAAGAATTAGATGATATAGCTAGTTTTGATTTAGTCACAAAAACATGGACATATATAACTGATGTTAAAATTTCACCACGTAGTGTTTTTGCTTTTGGATGTCTTGATGGTGTACTTATAGGACATGGTGGTGAACAAAATCCTTCCCAATTAGGTCATGCTGGTGCTGGTGAATTTGCTGATGATGTAATTATAATTCAGCCAACGAAAGAAAATGGTGAATGTGTACAAGCAAAACGGCTTGAATTTACAAAACCAATTGGTGGAAAACGTGGTTGGCATGCTGGTGCAACAATAAAAAATACATTTTATGTATTCGGTGGAAATACAACTGAAAATGAACGTGATAATACATTACTTGCAATTGAATTCCAGTAATAGCTTTTTCCTTCTTGTTTTGTAGCGTTCAACACTAGAATTTTAAAAAAGAAAAAGAGCAGCTTAAAAAGTTTCTTTTTTTTTCCATGATAATTAATAAAAAGGATTATACGTGATTGCTAAATTATTTGCAGAAAAAAATAAAATAATAGATAAAAAAATACTTAGAAACAAATATGGTGAATTTTTCGAACAATGTTAAGAATACCTGACGAAAAAAAACTACTATCATACTCATGAAGATAAACAGATTCGTTGAATATCAGTTATAATGATTATATGACTAACTTGATTCTAATGAGGCCCTTGCAAATTCACATTGAGTGGCATCAACTCAATTCAACTTTTTTTTTCCTAAACAGCTCAACAGTTATATCATTCTGAAACTGTAGTTCGTGTTTTTAAAAAAAATATGATAGCCTCATTCGATAGTTGAGTATTTTCCAATAGATGATATACTTTACGTGGATGAAGTTCTTGCTAAATTAAATAAACAAGAACAAATTGATTTTGCTTCAAAATATGCAATACTAACTGTCAGATAATATTTTTGATGCGAACAATAATAATAATCATAACGATGATGAATCAACATATTCTTCATTGACTACAAGTAGAACTATTGGTATTGATTTGCTTGAAAAAGAAAATTCAACTACAAATAGTCGATTTGAACAATGAATCAATCAATTTGATGAAATCAGTAAGTTATTAAAGTAATACAAATAAATAATGTAAAATTAATATGTGTTTGGATTTATTTACAGATGTGTTGAATGAAGATGAACAGATGCTGCTGGATACTGCGAAATTTACATTATCATCTGATATTATGTGTTGTTAAAGATCTACATAAAACTTGATCATCTAAAGCAAGAATTAAAGATTTTATTATTGTTCGATTATATCTTTATATTAATTTATATAAAGTATAGTCAACCAATATTATTTTTATAAATGAGAATAAGATGAAAATTATTTTATTCATTTTCAAGTAGAAATGCAAAGGTGACAGTGACTACCAGTCTTAGATAGAGTGCTGCATTTGTCTAGACATACAAGTATAGAATAACTGGGAACGAACAATGGTGATATTAAATTCATCTCAATTTTTTTGTCTATCGGAGAAGTTCTATTGGAGGAAAATCGAAAGCAATTCAAGATAATCATAGTTTTCTCAGGCACTCATCACCTTTACTGTCAATCTATACATACATATTTCGACCAGTGCGCCGTCACTGTTTCATTCCCACTTTGAAGTTTGCTAAAATCTTATTATTAATACTAGTTAGTCTAAAACAAAACGAATGCATTCCATTTACTGTACCAAATAAATGTCAATTAGTAGCAGTATTGCCGATAGTTGCTATATCAAACAGAAGCGAAGTGTATGAAACAGCTGCTTTTTCTCATCTGCATGCTGTTGTACACAAAGTACACTTTGCTAAAAAATCAGTACTTTATTTTCGAAGATCTCTTTCAGTGTATTTTTGAAACGAAATAAAGCTAAATGCAACTTTGTTCTAATTTTATACAACATATCACTATTTTGATATGCTTCATTAATCTTTTTTTCTGATTATTTTATAAAAGGTAATAAATAAGGATTAATATGAATGATTGATTAAGTTGTCCAGCACATATTTCAAGATATTCTGTTCCAGTGTCAGCGGCACGAGAGACAGAATGACTCTGGACATATCATTGACGACTGTTTATCTCGGATCATCAATAAGATAACATACTGACGATGTTGTGAGATATATCGGTTTTCGTGGTTGACATATAATTACTCAGTCAGACAAAAAAATTAAAAAAAAAAACTTGTGCTAACATATCGAATTTCAATGAAAATAAAGTGGTAAAAAGCGCACATTTTTACGCATTTAAAGCATTCGAACGATTATACAATGATGTGAAAAATTATAGAATCATCTTTCGATTTTGACTTCTTGCGAATTTCATTTTTCGTTTCAAATTCAATGCTTATACAAAAATTCACATGTACTCTTTCAATATTTATTGCAATAAATATTGAATGAGCTCATGTGAATCTATACGTGGGCGGTGAGTTTGAAACGAAAAATAACATTAAGGAAGAATAGAGTTCGAGAGAAGTTAAAGTCAGAGGGTGATTCTATGATTCAGCTCAAACGGTCGGGTCATTCTAGGTCAGAGGTTAGAAGATCAAGTTTGTTTAGTCCTAGCCTCAGTGATAGTCCTATTAAATTTAGTCTGGTCTTAGGCACTCCTTAGAGAAAACTATTTAAGAATCTATTCCGTAAACCTGAATTTGGCCGAAAAATAAAAACCTGGAAAGACGATGTATGAGTGTACCACTGGGCAAATGCAGTCCACAGCGGAACGGAATAAAGGTTTTTTTTTCTAAGAGCACACGCGCCATATTCAGCTCCACTAGGGAAAACAAAAAGTTTTCTTGATTAGAAGTGAGAAGGTGCCACACCCCTGATCGGGTCATTCCTATATAATAGTATTAAAAGAAAAGATATTGTTGTGTTGTGATTAATAAAGATGTTCTATTTTAATGTTAGAAATATAATAATCACATTTTAGAGAAAAAATACTTTTGAAAATGAGAGTGTGGATTAAGAGCAGACCTACGACCATATCCTATAGTGCATTATACTTATCGACTGTTAATATCAACTCCTTTTCTATGTTTTAAATATTTCTTGTCGATGTCTTACTTTCATGATTTCAAACAGTAGAACGTTTTTTTTTTTCGACATTTGTAAGGCGCAGACAATTCGAATATCAAGCAAATTCTTTTCTCGTCTTTTTTACATATGGTCTGATAGAGTGTGAGCTACTTATCACGAAGAACTAGTTTTTAGCACCAATACACGCTCTTTTAAAGGCGCGAAAAGTAAAAAAAATTGAAATTTGTTGTTTTTCTTAAAAACTACATTGTTTTCAAAATTTGTAAAATTTTCTGCTTCGCTCTTCTTGTCAATTTCTGAGAGTATTATTTTTAAATTCATCGTTAAAAACTAACTATAGACAACATATTCGACCGATTTAAACCTGAAAAACCTTTCGTTGGTCGTGTCTTGAATTACTCCCATTACAATAGCTATAGATCATTTATGTAAACCGATTTACTTTTTCGAATTAAGTAATGAGACCAAATCATTTTACTTCATGTGATTCATCATATCACTAGTTACAAAAGTATGCGTCACTTTTTTCTCTTTTCTTTGTCTAGAACAATGCTTTTTTACTGATTCAATAGGAAAAAGTGGAAGGCCATTACCAAATAAAATGTCTCCTTTTTACCCAAATCAAGTAAAAATGTATTCAAATAAGTAGAAAATGATCAAGAAACCAGATTAGTATACTTTAGAGGTAATGAAAGGATATTTAGAGTGTCTCTAAATATGCTCTCCTTCAAAAATCGTTATATTCTGGTTTTGATCAGTATTTCATAATTTTTATTTGCCTTACAAACTGATCACTTGTCATGTCTTTTTATTATTTTACATGTCTTTCTATATAATTTATGAATATATACATACAGAATAAAAATATTAAAATAGAAAAAACAATATTAAACTACAATGTGATTAAATTAATACAATACAGAGGTGTAGGGTTAGTGTGAGTCATTCCATCATTCAAATTCAACTGACACCTACATCTATGTTTTTCGCCACAAATTGTGAGATATTCATTCCTAACAGATAAGTCATAAAATTTTATCATTATCTCAAGTATTGACTTATTCTCTTCTTCCTCAGAGAATCAAAATATCTGTTACGCACTTTGTTATGTCTCTTATATTTTAAACATGACACTTTAACAACGACTACAATAAAGAAAAGAAAAAAATCATGATAAAGATGCTAAGTAACAGTCTTATTTTAGTGTTTTTCTGTTTTTGAATGAATAATGGGTTGTATATTATCCAAAGTATGTTTTCGAAATTGGTCACGATCGGCACAAAATAAAAAGCCGGACAAAACTATATTCATCAATATCAAAACTCAGAATTCATCTCGTTACGAGCAATACCAGCAACCTTCAGCATCAGTAGCATCAATGCCTCCAGAACCAGTGGTATTAATACATTCACCATCATTACCATCGATAGTTCTACCATCAGTCTCACCAGTACTTCTACGAACACGCACATTAGTGCCTACATCAAACTCATCTATATCAATATCTCGAAATGGTAGATCTCGTATACAACTTTATACTCCTATTTATGTCGCTATTGAAACTTATTCTAAAACGGACGATACTCATATATCGTTTGAAGTAGGTGATGAAATGGAATTGATTGAAGAAATTAATTCTTTAGAATTGCGTGTTAACCATCTACGTTCTGGTCTTTATGGTATCGTATCGAAAAATCTTGTTGAACTCAATAAAGAAACACCACTTCGATTGGCTGTAAATGATGCAGGTGTAATACAACAATGTCTTATGCAATATAATGTACCCGGTAGTTATCTTATTCGACGTAGTGGTACAAATCCAGGAACTTTTGTATTAAGTATTTCACAATTGAATAAACAACATAATACTTTCTATTGGCATTATTTAATTTGTATTAATCGATTGAACAATTGTTTCTATTTTGAAAAAGAAGAAACACTTCGAAATATATTTTTTTCATCATTTCAAAAACTTATTACTGACGAACGTGTGTGTAATTTTATTCCTTTAACTGAAATTCTCCCAGACTCAATTGAATTTGAAGAAGAAATATGGAAAATACCATTTGATGAATTAAAAATTGAAAATAAAATTGGTGAAGGTCAATTTGGTGAAGTATTTCATGCAAATTGGTATAAAGATCGAAGAACAATACCTGTAGCTGTAAAAAAATTACATGTTCATGGCTTTACTAGTACAATTGAACGAGAGATTGAAGTTATGAAAAAATTAACAAATTTATATATTGTAACATTGTATGGTATTTCTCAAAATCCAACAACAAATGAAATTTTTATGGTAACTGAATTGATGGAAAATGGAGACTTAAAATCATGGTTAAAAAAATTACCTAAGTTACCTGAATATTCTACTTTATTACGATTTTCAAGAGATATTTCAAGTGGTATGACTTATTTAGAGTATCGTAATTATGTTCATCGTGATTTAGCATGTCGAAATATTCTTCTTGGTTCAAATGGAAATTTTGTTAAAATTGCTGATCTTGGACTATCAGTTATGGTAGATACAGATCGATGTCAAGAAGCTCATTCAGAAAAATTACCAATTCGTTGGCTAGCACCTGAATTAATTGATAATCAAGCTGCTTATTCGATTAAGTCAGATGTATGGTCATTTGGTATTCTATTAATTGAACTTTGGCTGAAAGGTGGAGATCCTTATGATAATCAACATGTAACATGGATTTCATCTGCTGTTGGAACTGGATATGTTCATGAAAAACCAATAGATTGTCCTGTTGAATTCTATGACTTTGTGATATGTCAATGCTTGCAATATAAAGCAAATGATCGACCAAGTTTTGCAGCTCTCAGACAATTGTTAGGAAAATGGCAATGCTAATTCTAATAAGAATTTCCTTTTAAAAGATATTATTATGTTAATAAAAATAATAAAGTTTTTTTTTTTTTCGATTGAAGTATTTTTTATAAAAAAAATGAAATGAATAAAATAGTATCACTAATTTTATCTATTATCATTATAACTAATATTTATAAATATATTTTGGGCACAAAAGTCTCAGTAGGTCCGGGCTGAAGAAAGTTAGCTCATAATTTTTTCTGAAAAAAAAATCTATTTACAGACGCTCATGAGCTGTTTATCTAATTGCAATTTATTTTGAAACATCAATGAGCAAGCATATTTTGAGTATCGATAGTTAATCTGTAAACAAATGTTGGAAAATATATTTGACAACTTGCAAAGCATTCAATTCTCTCGAATTCATCAGCATTTTATGATTTTTTAGTGGGAAAATCGAAAACTTTCCAGCATAAGGATGTTTTTGCTTTACCATTTTGAGATTACTACAGTAGAACTTGCACATCTTCCGTCTTAGCAAAAAAATCAATACTTGAGGAAAAGAATCACTTTCAACGAATATTGACCTCTCTATTGTATTATTATGACTTATATCTCATTCATAATTAAATGAATAGTGACCAAATCTTTAGTCCATATACAGTGGAAGATTCTCTATAAAATTAAAATTAAATCATCTAAAACAGTTACTTCACTAACTAGTAGAACTGTCTAGTATTAAATAATATTCGGTTACACACTTAATTTTCAGTACATAAGATAGATTGTTTAATCTATAACTTTACAATGATTTACTATTAAAAAGTGAAATTTATACCATTATTATAATTTCACAAAATCTACCAAAATAGCAAAAAAAAAGTCTAAAAACAATTATGGTATCATATAACTATGGTTCGAACTTCTAAAGAGAGAAGATCTATATGGTAATTAAGAATATCGCAGAAAAAGATTAAAGATAGTAGCACATATACTCCCAGTCAATTTTTTGAGTTCACTGTGTTACATGTCGTGAGTAGGGGCATAACGTCAAAATTTTCTGACGGAAACGTTGGATTTTTTAGTGTCAGTAAAAAGTCATTATTTATAGAATAGCATCACTTTCACCTGAAATATTCAAGAAACTGCTAGTATTGCTAGCTTTTTAGTATCAAAAATTAGTTTTCATTGAGAGTAAGCATAATTTTCGGAATCAGTATGCAAAGATACAGCCGAAACTACATTTCACCACAAAATGTCTCTGATCAAAATGTTTGTTTTACTTCCTGTCAGCGTTTTATTCGTAAAATTTTAAGGTGTTCCCCACTCCTCTCCAGAGTGACATATAACTGGAAGTCTATTCAGATGAAAGATAGACTTTCAGATGTAATTTTTGCATGCTAATTCCAAAAATCATGCTTGTTTTCAATTATCTAGTAGTGTAATCTTATATTGCCATACTACTTACAAAATAAAAATGGCTAAACAAAAGAAAAAATAACGAAGATCTGTTCGGACTTATATTGTTTTGTGTAGGATGATGAACTAGTACCGACAGTTGAAGGAAAAGTGTTAACAAAACCTAATGATTGAGAAGGTTCAATAGAAATAAAGTTAGAGTTGGAAAAATTAATTTATGATGAATGAGGAGAACTAGACAAGAACATTTTGTTGAATATAAAGAAATATTTTTAAGGTGAAGATAATTTTATATTTTTCTTTGTCTTCCTTTATATATTTGCTGTTCATTACAGAAATGTTCAGCAGAGTCCAAGGCCTGAAGTTTGGAAGTCTCTGTCAACTCCTAAAAGCAACAATTGAAAGTACGAAATTTCGCAAAGAACTGAGACCTAACCTTCAAACATCTCACACATTCACCTCAGTTTCTCCATTGATCCCTTGAGACGAACTAACGTCCAATGACAATAATGCTAGTTTTCTAACCTCAATTACTGATCAATTTCTCAAACTCTTTCAAAGAATCAAACTGTCGATAGTCCCTAGAAGGGGTATAGGTGTCAGATGTTGGTCTGGATATGGATGTCTTTTAAATGGAGCCCCGCTTCTACAGCTTTTATTTAAATTGACATACAACCACAAGGTAGATTCTTCATGTAAACTCACACCCACACCCTTTCCAGAATAATCTCAAAATACATTATATGCTTTATAAGAAAGTCATAACTGAAAACAAAATTATCCAAAAATGTAGTGTTTGATTGTATTATATTAATACTTAAACCGTTCTTGTTCTCACTTCAGTCTTGATAATAAAAGCCAACATCATGAAGCAGAAATATTAATTATCAGTTATCAGAGACACAATTCAGATACAGAATGTATTTCATATTATCATCACAAAGGTGCCCATTTCAAAAATCTATTTCATTTGTATTTCCCTTTACTCGTGATATCAGAATACTACGATATACGTACTATCGAATTCTTAGGAGAAACTGATAAATCAAGCGTACAACATATAAACATTCTATCAAATGTGAGACAGTAACTTTTAGAGTAACGGTAAATGCATATCAATAATCTGAAGTTGACAAAACAAGATATTCGCGAAGATTTTTAACCATTCCTTATTTACTACTTTCATCTACAAAATACAATAATACCACATTCAAAATACAGTTGACAGATTACTTCTCAGAAAGATTCCACAATTCTCTTTTAACACCTATCAATACATTTACTATGGAATTTATTCAATATCTACATAATTCTGGCATCACAATAGTAGAACTCAAATAGAAAAGTTTGATTCCATCAGCAAAATTTTGTTACTATAACGGACTTTTATAAAAGCACATAAATATATTTTCACAGAAAAAAAAAGATTTATTAAAGATATAATGAGAGAGCAACATAAATGCTCTCTGTTCACTTCGTTTTATTTGTCTCGCTTTGTAGAATACATTTGTTACATTAAGAGTCAATACAAACCTAACATAAAATTACATTTAACTACAAAAAAAGAAATCATTTACATAAGTTTAAACATTCTAATATCGAACTGCTAGAAATGATACGAAATCTGGTATTATAATAGAATTTTACTTCAAATCTGCTGGAGCAAAAAAGTTCTCAGCAGAAATCTGTTGTTGATAAGAGAACGTACGTAAAATAGTCACTGCAGGACAAGTTATCCGATTCTTTGATCTTATAAGAAAACTTGTGTAATCTGGCAAAACGCAGATGAGTACTGTCTGAAGTTGGTGAAATCGTAGAATAAGATTTCGTTAGTTGGACCCAACTGATAGAAAACGTCGTGATAACCAGTATTCTCATAGGATCCAATTTACATATTTTATCCTGAACTTCTTTAAACTTTACAAAGAATTTAGTTAAATCCGATCGAATCCTGCGGATCAATTTTGACTCGGAATCATAAAGAAAAGTGACGAAATCAAAAAATTCACCATTTCTATTTTGACGAGTTTAGCTATTACTAAGTTTCGTAAAATTAACAGCAAAAAACAAAAAAAAGGAGCAGATCATCACGAAATTAAGAGGAAGGAGAAGTCTTTTTCAGAAAAACAAAGAGACATGTACAAGTAGAGGTGTAAGCCATCCAGCTGCGCCGCCGCCGTCACTGACCTTTTTTGGAGCAAAAACGGTTTTTCTTGTTTTTTTTGGTTGTCAAAGCCGCCGCCGGTGCAGAAAAATATAAAGTACAGTAGCCGCCGCCATGAAAAAAAATTGGACCATTAAAACAGCCGCCGCCGTTTGACCCTTCGGCTTACACCTCTATGTACAAGTTAACCCATTAAAAATTGTAAGACATTGATAGTAACCAGTTATTGTATTATAATAAAAAAGAATAATACAAGCTATCTAACTTACAAAAACTATTTTATATATATAGCAATTATTAACAATTGATTTTTTCTTACATTTCATAATTTTGAGGAAACAAAATGAAAATTTTTACCACAATCATTTTTATTACATAATAGAAGAAACAATTTTCAAGGAAGGAAAATACAAATATAGTTCACTTGGATAATCACTTTTTTCGCAAAAGAATATTCGTTCAATATGAGCACAATTATGTCGCGTTGTATTTCTTGTAAAATTTTCTGTTCCATTTTTTCAGACTATTATAACGTAGTTTCGATTCAGTTAAACGAGGTGCAGGAGTCTTTGTATCAAGTAAAAATTGTTCAAAATAATATTCATCTAGAATCATCATATCAAGTGAAATAAGTTGAGAAAATTCAATAATGATGATATCATATTGACAATAGTAAAATATTTCAACAATGGAAAAGCTTTAGCAATTCGAATGAAAAATTCATATATGAATTGAATTGTACCAAATACTTTCAAGCAAGTAACATGATGGAATATTATAGATAGAAATCTATTGATGATCATTTCAAGACGATCAAATACGAATGGAAGTAAAAAAAAAACCATGACACATTGCTTTGAATGAACAATAATAGTTAACAATACAAGATATTTGATAATAACCTATATTTTTAAAAGTTTGTTTTATATCATCATCAGATAAACGAAGAACTGATTGATCAATTAGAATTTCAGTATTAATATAGAAAATAAATGTATGAAGTTGCGATATATGCATAATAATTTCCTTACGTAGATGAGTACCATCAACAAATGTAAATCGATCTTTAACATAAACATATAAAGCTAATTTTTCCAAATATGTCATATGACAAAGTAAAGGTATCACTCGATTGTCATATGCGTTAGTTGAATTATAACATGTTAATGAGAAATATTTCAAATTTGATAGATTGTTCTACAAAAATACAAACATATATTTCAATTGATTTAAGAAAAAAAAATTATCGATCAAAACTTATTATTCATATTTAAAACTGTTTGAATTTTTTTTTTATATTTAATCTTAATGTATAAATTTTCTAATAATGACAAAGTAAAACAATTGATTTACTTTTCTAAAATTTCACTATATCAATTACAATAGATAATAAAAGAAGTCAAAAGTTTTCGACAAAGATCATCATATATTTGTTAAAAGAATTACTCAAGAAAGGAAACAACAAAGACTTTACTCTTAAAGTTAGCTATTTCCTTCTCGAAGTTATCTATATAAAATTTTAATTAATTTTTTTTATTTATTATTTCATTATTTAACTACTCAAGCAGATACATATATATTGAATAGGAATTAATTATGAAATAGTCAACCACGTTATGTTCAATTTTTACTCGTATAAAAAATCAATGATACATTGCATTATTGATTAATACAACATTATGACTTTTTAAAGTCATTATATTGAAAATAATTATTAAAATAAAACTAACTATACACTTATACTATTATGAATAATCGATGAATCATTACATATATAATCAATTTCAACAATAAATGTAGTTAATTATTTAAGATGACCATCAAGTAAATAAAGGCAATCATCTAAACTGGTTACAATGATACATAATGTTGTAAGAATCGAAAAGAAAAAAGTAGTTGAAGGTAAATCACATATTGATAATGATGGATAATTAATCATGGACGATCCAACAATATTTAAATACTTAAGATCTTTTAATAAAGTCAATATGGTTATATAGATATTTTCTGTATATTCTTTTAATAGTATTGTTTAGCCTATACTATTCTAATTATCAATATTTTCAAGAATAAGTCCATGTATTTGATATTTGAAAATATGTTGAAAGATTGAATCATCTAAACAAAACTAAAGAAAAAAAAAACAATCAGATCATATGTCCTATTTTATTTAAATGCTATTTTTTTTTAATTTATTCATATATGAATATACTGAATATTTACC